CCTGACCAATGAGAGTCCTGATTGGCTACCCAATCTGATTGGCTCAGTTCTGTACATTGTCACCAATCAGGTCACAGATCAGGATGCACAGCACGAGTTGGGTGGCTAAGAGACAGTTGGTGCCAGTCTTGTGATGTTGAAGGCAGAGCTTTCACAACAAGGACACCAGTGACAGAGGCAGTGTGCACAGACCGTGCATTAAGCCGCGAATTTGGAAACAGATTCCTGATCTACTGAAGCAACACCAGGTACAGCTTGATTGGCAGCTGTCTCCCGGGACTATTACTCTTTCATGGGACCCACACTGTTCTCTTTGTCAAAACCACTTTGGAGTGAAGATAAGACCACCAGATCTTGTTCCCACTGGGTGGCTAATCAGGAGCCCAAGCCTGGATTCGGAACCACCTTGGATTCTGTGCATCACTTTTTAGTCTGAAGAGTCTGTGGTGGCTGAGACATCCAGGCTCCTTCCCAGGGCACTGTGGACCATCCCATGGAGACCACTGTCCCATTCCATGTCCTTACTGGCTTGTCTTATGTTCCTTAAAAATTTACCTTTGGAGAATGACATGTCACACATCACATAGTCTTATTCATTTGCAACTGTTTTCCATCAAAAGATTAAAATTTATTCTTGGAGCTATGGGCTTTTTGCCTGTCTCCTCTTCATATGTTTTATTTGTCAATTTTTTTATTTAAATTTGTTTTCATTTTACATACCAACCCCAGTTTCCCCTCCCTCCCCTTCTCCCATCTCCCCCCAACTCTCCCCCATCCCACACCCATGCGCTTCTGAGAGGGGGTAAGGCCTCCTTTGGGGGAGTCAACAAAGTCTGGCATACCAAGTTTAGGCAAGACAAAGTCCCTCCCCGCTGCATCACTGCTGAGCAAGGTATCCCACCATAGGGAATGGGTTCCAAATAGCCAGTTCAGGCATCTGGGATAAGTCCCGGTCCCAGAGCCAGGGGCCCCATCAACAGATCAAGCCAAACAACTGTCACCCACATTCAGAGGACCTAGTTCGGTCCCCAGTAGCTCCAGTCAGCTGTCTCTGTGATTTTCCCCATCAAGATCTTGAGGACCCCCCCCTTGCTCATATAATCCCTCCTCCCTCTCTTCAACTGATCTCTAGATCAGTCCAGTACTTGGCTGTGGATTTCTGCATCTGCTTCCATCAGTTAATGGATATAGGTTCTATGATGATAGTTAGGGTAGTCACCAACCTGAGTACAGGGGAAGGCCAATTTAGGCACCCCCTTCACTATTGCTAGGAGTCTTAGCTGGGGTCATCCTTGTGGATTCCTGGGAATTTCCCTAGCACCAGATTTCTCCCTTATCCCATAATGGTTCCCTCTGTAAAGGTAACTCTTTCTTTACTCTCCCTCTCTGTCCCTCCCCCAACTCGTCCATCTGGATGCCTCATGTTCCCATCCTCCATCCCCTTCCTCCTAATTTCCCTCCCAGTTTACCCAGGAGATCTTAACTGTTTTCTCTCCCTGGGGCCCTCCATTCGTGTCTCTCTTAGGGTCCTCCTTTTTACCTAGCTTCTCTGGAGTTGTGGATTGTAGTCTGGTTATCCTTTGCTTTGCATCTAATATACACTTATGAGTGAGTACATACCATGTTTGTCTTTCTGGGTCTGGGTTACCTCACTCAGGATTACATTGAAAGATTTTTTTTATGTTGAATCATCCCTGCATCTCTGGGATAAAGCCTACTTGATCATGGTGGGTGATTTTTTGATGTGTTCTTGGATTCAGTTTGCCAGTATTTCCTTGAATATTTTTGCATCAGGGTTCATGAGGGAGACTGGTCTATTATAATCCTCTTCTTTGTTGCATCTTTGTGTGGTTTGGGTTTCAGGGCATCTGTACCCTTTCAAAACCAGTTTGAGGCCGGGCGGCAGTGGCACATGCCTTTAATCCCAGCACTCAGGAGGCAGAGCCAGGTGGATCTCTGCGAGTTTGAAACCAGCCTGGTCTACAGAGCAAGATCTAGGACAG